GTTTTCTTGTGTTATCTGTGGTTAATCCAAATAATGCACTCTTACTTCCTTCCCAACTTATAAACCAAAAGTTATAGCAATGAAAATTCATGTCTTTTGCACAAAAAGCAGTAATTGAGTGTAAAGTGCAGAACATACAAACTAGGAATGGAAAAATCTAGCTAAGTTAAGTAACACCCACCTATCTAGCCTTCTAATTCAATGGCTTACGATTGTGTGACCATACCTTAAAGCATAGCTTTCAGTAAGTCTGGAGAGGATTCTCAGGAAACATAAATCATTATGCATATGAGACATAAGGATATCCTCATGAAATACAGCTCAAATTGTAAAAAAATTAATAAAAATAAAAGCAGTTAAAACAGTCAGCAATATAAACAGGAGGTCACAATTTACATGGGAAAGTTCTACCCCTTTACTGGTTCTTGATCTGCATTTGTCCTATAAAAGCTCTTTGTTGAGCTCAGAACTGATTTCCAAGCAAACCATAAATCTCAAAACCAGAAGGTATTTTTATATTACAAGAAATGGGGCCAAAGGAGGCTTATACTAGTATAAATTATACGTACTAAAGTTTGCACTTTGGCTTACACATTTCAGTTAGCCTTCCTTTGTAGACAAACCATGAAAAACATTGTCTTGCCTTTTACAGCAATGCTACTTGTCAATATAAAACCTCGGTTATCTAAGCATATTAAAAACTCCCTTCATTATTTAAGCAGAGCTAACTGTATTAAGCCCCCCAACTGTATAGAAGTGATTTTATCCCTGAAATTGTATAATCCTTAAAACAAATACAGAAAGAGTTGAGAAAGAGCCACTACCACATTAAAAAATTATCATATAATAGTTGTGCAAAGTAAGCATCTGCAAGGGTAAGTTCATTCTATATTTTGAGGGGCTTATTTTTATTTCTACTATACATAACAAGAGAATTACAGAATCAAATAGTGGCCTAATATACACTAACGGCAGACTGCCTTTATAAGCTCACGCGATCAAGATTTTCTGCTCACAGATTATAGTATCACTGAAGCAAGAAAGCCTTCTGCAAACATCGCACATTTCACTTGCATCTATTTTAATTGAATTGGCTAATGCATTTGTATATAGTTTGTCCTCTTTGGCCTTTCCAAAAAAAAACAGAACCTCTCAGAAGCAAGCACTTTGTGCTCTAGTAGATGTCTCCAGAAACACTAAGGAGTGAAATCATCACTGGGCTTTCTAGTAGGGAGAATACAAAAGAAAGAGCAGTGTCTGCATAGGAGAGCAGAGATACACAAAAGCTGAGCAAAAAGCCCCTCAAAATAACAAAACAAAAAGTAACTTGTACTTCTAAATTTTTTTTAAAAAACAAAAACAAACACACAAAAAAAGGTGTGTACATCAATTACACCGACCAGACAGAGATGCTTAAAAGGTGCAAGATTTTTTAAGGGGCTTTCCTCATAGACATTGAAGTTAGAACACTGTTCAGTCCCAGATATTGAATTCAATTTTCCAGCCAGAACTCATCCACTCTAAAAAGCACAAATCAGTACCACATTCCAGAACTGTCCTTGTTTCTCCACTAAGTTTGTCAACTCCTACAGGAGCTAATAGCGACATGTTCATCAAAGCTCTTGAGTATGAAGAGATCTGGACCTCTTAACTCCAGTTAAGAGCATCCCAAACCTTACAATAGGAAAAAGGAATAAAATAATGGTTATATTTAACACAACTTTCCATTTCTGAACCTATAAATGAATTAGTTACTTAACTCACGTGCATTCAGATATCAGAGCAGGATTAACAGCACGGAGAAAAATCTATAAGCCTTTTTGTCTAAAGGAATTCAGCATCTTCTTCAGGGATGTTTGCCAGACGTCCTTAAAAAAAAAAAAAATCTTAAATATTACCTTATGCAGAGATGTCCCATCAAAATCACGGTTGCATTTTAACTTCTGGCAGCTATCGCTGTAAAGATTATGCTTATCACCTCCTCTAACTTAACTCGGACAGACAGCTACTCTAGAAATAGTTACAGCAGAGCAAGATGTTACTGCTGCTCACCTGGAAGCTGCTAAGTCCCTTTGCCCACAGCTGATTCACACTGAACAGACCACGTGAGCGCACTCACCTCACTGCAGTATAAAAAGCTGATTAGATTGAACTATCCCTGAAGAAGGCAGAGTGCTTGCTTCTGCAGGACCTAGGAGACCGAAGTTACTGCAGCATTAACTAAGGAGAAAAGTAAGCCACAGTTTATGGGCATTGGCAAAACAACCATGGAGAGCAACTTAAATACCTTACCTATATTCACCTACAAAGGCTCTACATTTTGAATTACTCTTCCTAAGGCTAAGTCTTAATCACTATTCTTCAACAAGCTAATTATAAGCTATCAGCCATCTTACTTCAGATTATTTTGAAACCAGTTAGTTTTGCGCTAGACTGCATGAGTTATGACAACAACACGTTTTCACTTTATGGTAAGATGGGCTGCTAGGCCTAGCTCATCTTTCCCTTCTGTATTGTCTCTCTACATTGCACATTTGCCCAGTTTTATTTCCTGCTTTACCATACACTTTTTTTCTTTGCATTACTCTGGCACTGTGTCGATATATGAGCCCTCAGCCTCACTGAAAGCATTTTAGCCATAATTCCAAACACCTTTTAAAAGTGCAAAAATTGCCTATCATGGTCAGTATCCAACAATTCTCCAATTATGAAGGCACTGCGGTAAAAGAGCATCCATTCAATGACACTGAGAACTCAACTGCTTAAAGCAGACAAATTATTCCTGACAATAGCAGCTTTTTGTTTTTAAAGCTTTAGGGGATTACAGCGTAGTCTGTATTCTAACCAAGTGACCTCGATACTTTAGGAGCCTATATTGATCACAGATTACGGGTCTCATTCCACTGTTCTAGTGCCAATTTGTTTCACAAAACTCACTAAAAGAGACAGTTGTTTTAGCCTAGTTTTCACATATAAAACTACAAACAAATCAAGGAAAGAAATTAAAGTTAGATTTTTTTTTGACACCTACAAACACAGCAAGAAATCTTCATCTGAACTCTGATTTTTACCATGTTTTAAGTTTCATTAGGGACTTGCAGACTGAAGATTTCTTCCAAATCATTTGCCGCATTCAATGGAGCATCATCATCTGAAGCGGAAGAGACTATTCTTATAATAATGAAGAATTTGGAATAAAATGACCAAAGAGAAGAGTTGAGGGGAGGCTGCAAAAAAAATACAATAATAAAAAAAAGTTACTTAGAATATTTCTGGCTTTGAATGCTTAAACCATTAGGTTACCCTTTTTAATCAAGGCTAGTTCCTTTCTGCATAAGCAATTATCAAAGCTAATAGGACTGGTACGGTATGTCTACACACCTATGTATTAACTAGCTGTCTTTTAATCATTTGCCAGACTGTAATTCTATTCCTCTATAGTAATCAGACCTTATTGTTGTGGTTTGCTTAAAGTCAGTTGTTTTTTTTTCCAGAAAGTTAGCATCTATAGTCTTTATATACCGAGTAAAATGTTTTTGCACACATGTGAAAAAACATGTGTTTGCACTCATTTTTCAACCAAGAGAGAAGATGTTGTGTGCATCAGCAGACAGGGAAGGAAAAAAAAAAAATCCCTAACCGATGCTACAGATCCTGTTTTTCTGTACCCTGAGAAGACTCAAAACCGTTAAGTTATTCAAGTGAAATTTGAATAAGCTGACTGGTATTTTGTGTCAAATTCAAACCCCACTTATGCATAGCTAGAAATCTTAAAAATTACTCTAAAAACATCATTGTTTCTTTTCTTGTCACATTTTTTAAACTCTTCTAAGTACCTTGTTTTGACACATCATTATAAATGCCCTCAAATAAAAGCCATTAAAATATATTTTGCTCAATCCAAAACTTTTAGGATGGAATTGCCTCCTGTGTTCTCAAGTCATTACTGTATTTATCGTTGTGAAATAAGCCTTTTACTAGAGCTAGACAGGACAACTTAGTTTTCACAATTTCCCACTAGAAGTTCAAGTTAAAAGTTCTTTTCTCCTTGTATTTCAACAGTAATCAAGTTCTACTACATACTTTTTAAGACCATCTATGTAGTTTTGGTAAGTGAACTATCCACTGAGGTAATCACTAAGTGTTTTGCTTTCATAGGAAGTTCTCAAATTCTTTAGTCATCATCTTCAAGTGCAAGCTCAGTACAACTTTTGCAGGAAGCCAGGGCTCGATGCTACCTAAGACTGCTTAAGGCAAAACAGTTGCTATTTCCCATCTTGTGGTGGTAAGCATCTCAGCACGGCCTCTCATCTACATTGGAGCGTAAATTCCCCCTCCTCATTCTTCCAAAGTCCATAGTTTCTAATTATAAAAAATTACCACAGAAATGCCGTTCCAGATGTACAAGAGAATGTACGATGGTCCAAACAAGATTTCTATCCTCTGTGTAATATATTACCTCTGGGGTGCTCCATCTTCTCCTTCCCTGACCCTCCCTCATCCACACCCCCTTGAGTTACATCAATCTGGCTGGTGCCTTGTATCTCACAAGAGACCTTTCTCTGCGATTACACAAGAAAAGAGGTTCGCATTTAGTGGCTATGGCTCCAAGACAAAGTGACAAGCATCAAATTAACACAATTAACAAAAAGGTGGGAGCAACATGTTTGCCAGCTTATACATATAAGCTTTTACTGCAATTGTTTCACTACAGGCAACCGCATTGTAAGTATATCCAATTCCAACAAAAGTGGTGTAAGTTTATAAAGAACTTAAAATCTTTGGTTAGTAAAGCAGAAATACTGCAGGAACTGCAACTTCATTAACAAATTTAAGAAAAGATCATTTCAGTGAGGCATGCACTGTTAAGAGAGCCCAGGTTTCCTAATGTCAAGCCAGCTGGAAGTTTTTTTTTTTTTTTTTTTTTTTTAAATTTCACCTTCATATTTTAAAACCTGAACAAACCATGTCCAAACGACATATTCAAATTTTTATAAAAATTAAGGTTTAACATTTATTTTACATCTAGCTTTCCACATCCATGTGGGGACAAGGAATCAGAATGTACATAACTATAAGCAGTGCAAAAGTGGTGCCAGTGCGAAGTCACAGATGCACAATAAACTGATAGTACAAGACTAGAGGAAATGAAGCTATGGATGTTAAGAATGGAGACCAAAAAACAAACAAACAAACAAGGAAAAATATGAAGGAAGAGGGCAGGAAACAGGAGAGCCGGATACTTAGTAATGCCCTTGTTGCTGCAAAGATAAACTAATGGCACAAGACAATGTTTCTTGTAGAACAAAAATCCAATAGCAATGAGTCTTTATTCACGTTTAGTCACCTGACATGAGGAAAGTGTCTGTTGCATTAAAATAGTCATTAATGTAAATGGCAGCATGGCTGAACAAGTCCTTTTCAATGGTAACAAACATCCCACATAGTAAAGTCACTTCAACACAGCCTCATGACAATTCCCACATCAAAACAGTACTTTATTTTATATTTTTTGCCTCATCATTACTCCCACATTAAGATCTTTCAGCTGTCAAGCGTACAAGGTGAAGAAAAAGGTTCTCAGTCAGCAAACACAGGTGCATCAGGAAGCATCTCCACAACACACCACTTCAGATCTGCTGGGTCCCAAGTCCATCCTTGAACGCTGGGCTCCCAGCACCAAGTGTAGCACGCAACTAAGGCTACACTACTATGTTAGCTTATTAATTCTGCATACATCAGGCCGAACAATGTGTCAACCTGCAACAGACTGAGTATTATAACTGAAAATGGCAAAAGATTCGCTCTATCGAACTTTACATCATTATTTGATGTTAAACAATGAGGCAAATCCCAACAGTATATACAAAAACCAGCTTTGCTTTTACAAAAGATTTTGTTTCCCATATTGATTAATCCAGGCAGCTAACTCATTGGTTTATGCAACTTTATTGAAGAAAATAAATCAATTACTAGCAGAGCTATTAGTTGATCACTCATCCATTGACAACTTGCATCATTTATTCAGTGCTATATTAAACAGTGTTTTGGAAGACAGATTAACTAATAGCTCCAAGCCTCCTAACAAAATTTAAATGAATTACAAAAATGTCCTTAGACCCTATTTTGGAATACAAGGGATGTTTGACTTCCAATTTCCATTCTCTGTAAAACAAGAACTGGTCATTCCTTTATTGACATGCATAAGATACATCACATTTTCTGTTCTGCTGATGCTATAGATTCAGTACCAATTCTCCAGAAACATCAGTTATGAGCAGAAGTATATAGCAAAACCTCAGTTCTCTAACACTGGAAGGTTTAGAACAAGATGGATGTTGTTACAGCAATGTTACTTCTTTGATGGGAGAAAACTGAACATCCATCTTCCCTCCCCCCTTCAGGTGATATCTTCGGTATCTGTTAGAGCAGTGAGGATTTTTTTTTTTTTTTTAATCTCATAACCAAGTTAGAATGAAGACATTGGCCACATAATACACATGCTCCATTAAAAAAAAATTCTGAATCTTGGGCAATTGTTCTTGTGTAACTACTTTACAGATTCTAAAAGCAGTTATTGTCCAAAGCTAGAAGAACTAAAGTCTTCTCAGATGAGCATGTGCATGAATGGAAGGAGGTAAACAAAAAAATAAAAAAAGATGAGGTCTGATAGGGGAGCAGCCGGATAAGAAAATCAAAAAAGGAACAGTAATTTAAAGTTTATTCCAGCTATAATGCAGGTTATTCTGACTTTAAGGTAGCATCACATGGCATACTTCTGAGTCCATTCCCGAGATATTCTGTTGTACCTGCAAACAAAAACAGGAATAGCATTAGTGCCACTAAACAGCAATTTCCTAAAAGTTCAGTGATAAATATTTTATTCCAATCTCCCTATTCTTCTTCACGCTAAGAGAAGTTTCTTTCTACACTAATATAAGCTGAGAAAACCTGAACAAATCCCTTCCTAGACTGACTTGGATAACTTTCTAATTTACATAAAAAACTTCACATCTAAAATGAACAGAGTTGCTAGAAGTTTGTTGTGAAAGACTACTAAAGGGGAAGGAATAGAGACCACCTGTGGTGGGAGGGGCAAGAGGAGTGTTTTTTTTTTTTTTTAATACTGGTCCTTAGGATAACTATTATATAGAGTATCACATGCCATAAGTAAAGACTACTTGATTATCATTGGATACAGAATGTGTGTCAACTTTCCTATTGTAGAGTAAGATAACAGTAAGCATTTCTTCATCTCCATATTCTCTTTTCACATTAATATATTGCTCAAATAATTTTTTTAAAAAGGAATATTAACAGAGTATCTTTTTAAGTATAGTACTTCCACAGGAATTGAGCTGACAATTAGTTTATACTTAACTCCATGCTTATCAGTAGTAAGTTAATTTTCAACTATACAAGCAGACCAGAACCCCTATGTATTTCCCTAGTTTAGAATACGTAAGAAGAGAGACACTGCTGAGTAATAAAAAGTTTAAATTTGGGTCGTCTAAATTCATGCACGTCTATGCATGAGGTCCGATTACAGAGTACTGCATCATTTTAAATGAAATTCTGACAAAAACTGCGTAAATACTTACCAGAAAAAGTTCACAAGCTGGCTCAAAACTTGATAATTATTTCATACTTTTTTTTTTTTTTTTTTTGCCATGCAAGAGCAGTATCTGTGAGAAATAGTGACTAGCCAATACATTTCACACTAACCACAGACCAAGCTGTTAAATATTCAAGTTCAGTAACTGGTGCATCCATTATCTGTTAGTTAATCCAGTGCCTTAAAGCATGCAGCACTCAAGTGCTGACAAGTTTCCATTTTGTTAAATGCACCATAATGTGCAGATATTCTTACCCTACAGCATAGCGTATTTCTCTGTCCACTCTCTTGCTAACCTATTGTACCTAATCGGACAAGTATATTTAGCATTAATAGAAAACCAAAGGCTATTTCATATAATTCTACCTGTGCAAAATGTTAAAAATATGTAAGGAAAACATACTTGTTTCAACACCGATAGGAAAAGAGTCATAAAGCCTTTCTCAAGGGAAGTTCCAAAATTAAAGGAAGCTACTACCAAAAGAAAGCACCAAAGAAGATCCCTGTTCTATTTAAGCATAGGAAGCCAGTTAAGTAGGCAACACACACTTTCAAATACTGCCACCTTTGTAAGAAAAAGATACTCTCCCTCCCCCGCAACTTCAAAGATACTAAGTCCCTTTGTTTTTAAATTAGGCACTACCAAGAATAGGTATCTCTTCAACACACAAGTTTTCTCCATCCCAAATTTTCACAAAAGGCTCACTCAGTACAATTGCTCTCTGACAGAGCACTCTTCACAAAGTTTGTTAAAGTATTTCTTACATAACTCTGTACTTACTTGTCTCTGTCTGTTTTATAGATACGTGCAATCTCTGGCACTAGTGGGTCATCTGGATTTGGATCACATAACAGTGAACAAATGGATAAGAGAACTGTTTAAAAAAAAAAAAAACAAAACACTCAATAGCAAAACAAGAGCAACGATCTCAGAAACAATGGAGCATGGCTTTGTGCTTTAAGACAACATTAGCATGCTAGAGAGCCCCAAAAGCCTTTTCCTGACACATGGCCAAAGTAAATTTGTAGCCTACTCTACATAAAAAGCCCCACATGACTTAAAATTCCCAAGAACTATTTATTTCCCATTTCCCAATACTCATAGCCTTCAACAAACATAAAAATAGCGCCACTGTCCCCTGAACTATGATGCAAGGTAGCAGCACACTAAAGCACATTACTATGTATTTTGATGATCAACACATTCCAGGTTTTCATCACTAGAATCAGAACTTTCGGACTCCATTCTTTCTCTGTAGTGTCTAAGATAGTACTACCCCAGTCTGCACTGATAAAATACGTATGTTGTAAAAGAAAGGAGCAAGACTGCCGGGGAAACACTACTGCAGGCTGCTATAGGATCTGCATCATCTATTCTTACAGCAGCTTTAAAAGAAACATGGTAATGACAACGTTAAAATGTAGGGGATCCACATCACAAACATATCCCTTGGACAGACAGGAATTACAAGTTCTATAGATAAAGAAGCATCTTGATGGATCTTTTGAAGCCACGTTGACCAGTGTAAGCAGCCAAACAAACAAAATTCTGTCATGAAAGTACTTGAGAACTAACTCGCGTTTACTATAGTAAAATGAGGAAAGCTACAAAGCTCCTACTGCAGCACAAATTCAGCTTATCCTGAAGTACAATCAGTAGGCTCAGTCCATGAAGACAATGCCACTGCAAGGCAGCAGAGAGCAACATGTATCAATATCCATCTTCTGTTTATCTATCCACAGAGATATGCCAATATAACTCGGAATGTAATTCTAGGTAGGCTCAGCCAAAAAGCTATATAGACTTGATTATAAAAAACTGAACCGAAATAAACCATCTTTAAATTGATAAACAAGAGTATATCTACATGGACAGGTACAAACAAGCAGTTTCTCAGCCTCAGCTTGAGCATACCACCGTAGGCCTGCTTCAATCCAGATGCTGGCAATCTCCTCTGAGACCAAGCTAGTAAGCACTGCTAAGAACACTAAAGCAAATAAGTGGTCAGACAAGGCCTTAAACAGCCGTGTAGCAGGTGGTGTTGGAAAAAAAAAAAAACAAACATCCATTAAAAATGCACTAAGATATTATCAAATTGGCAAACACCGGCTAAGGGAAACATCAAGAGACAGGGGGAGAACTCAAGACAATCAAAGCAAAAAACACAACATTCAACACAAGATGGAAACATTTCCCCTCCAGAAAAGTTACCTTTAGAAATAGTTAAAGCAGGAGACCACTGTGATCTTAGAATATCGAGACAAATGCTGCCATTACTGTTAATATTTGGATGATAGATTCTTGTTGTAAATGCAACCTATAATAAAAAAATATGAAAAGTGTGTTTCAGTCTATGACAATTACAGTATCACTCTTTCTTTTCAATCAAGCTATTAGTCAACTCAATTTATTCGAAAAGAAAAGTAAGAATTGAACAGTTAGACTGTACCACGAATTCAGAGAAACACACTCAAAGCAGCAGCTTTTGGATTGCAAATTACTAGGCATTCTGATCAGAATAGAGAGAAGACAAGCATGAGGCTATGTTTTAATCACAGGTATCTCTGCAACATGATGAAGACACTCAGCAGAAGTGTTTCAACCACGGTAACACTGCTATCACAAAGGTAAAGAACTTCAAACACTACGGCCACTCCAAGTTTTTCGATTTTCATTCAAAATGAAAATGAAAGCGCAGGTACACTTTTTTTGTAGTTTTGCCAGCTACTAACATTATTTTGCAACTATTATCACATTATAATAGATAAAATAATCATTGATTTTAGACACTCAACAAGTCAACATCAATAGGGTCAAATTTTTACGTAACAACCCAGAGAGTCATACAGTAAGACTTGTCAGTCCCCTAAGTAAGAATTCTACTACAGCAATGCAAAGCCAGTGAGTTTTCCTAACAATTACGAAAAACAGAAAAGAAAACAAACATCGTTCTAAGCAGTTTAGAATTACTGTGTATGAATATGCTTGAATATATGCCAGCACACAAATTCTTGGGTCAGTCAGAGAGGGATACAGCATTTGAGATGCTGCTTTTTTTAAGAATGTATGAATGAAGTCAGAACTTGACAATATTAGAACTCAAGTACTAACAATTTCTATCCTGCACTCAGTTTCTTAAAGAGCACTAACTTCACAAAGGAGAAAGTAATACTTACCTTAGGTGGTTTGAAAGGGTAGTCTGTAGGAAAGTGAATTGTCAAGAAGAATACACCACCCTGATATGGACTGTCATTCTGTCAAAGCAAGCAAATAATTCTCCAATTAGCTTTAGGACTAAATCTCTTTCAGGATCTTGTTTTTAAATAAAGAAATGTGTTTAAACAAAGGAACTGTTTAATTCACCAATATAACAGAGATGCAGCTAAAATTCAACTGTTCCTTCCTAAGGCTAAGTGATGCAGAACAGATATGGGACACCTTTTGGATGGACCTGTCTGAGATAATGCTTCACAGAAAACAACTTCTGTGACAATCCGCTAGGGACAACTTGCAAAGGCATCCAAGTCTCTTGAGACAGCTCCAAGAAATAACAGTAACAGAGTGGGAGCCTTGTCTAACAAGTTCAAGACGCTGAAGTTCTGCGCTTGGAGAGCCTGTTACAATCACTCAAGTAACAATGGCCAAAGACAACTCACAGGCCTCCCATTCCCTCCTAAGTTCTCTCTTTGGTGTAGGCACTGTTGAGCCCTGCAGAAAATCTCTTCTTACACACAACTAACTCCTGGTTCCTTACAAAAACCAACCAAACAAAAAAATTTCACCAAAACCACCACCACCACCACACTTTCTCCCTTTCTGTTTTAGAAATTCATCATAAGCTGATTTACAACTAAAAATTTCTGACATGGTAATCTACCTAATTTTCTTGTTTAACTTATAGACTACAGTGCTTTTAATTCTAGACTCAGGACTACGAATTTGACACACACACAGTTCAGAGTACACTTCTGAATTATTCAGAAACTGAATTTTCATATTCTTTGAAAAAACATTTCACTGATGTAAAGCAGTAAGTGCATCTTACTCTGTTAAATATCAGTAAATGAAATTCTGTAATACAAGACAAGGGATGCAAACTTATCAAAGTGTAGGTTATATGCCACACTATCTCTGCCAAAAACATAGAAATAAAAATATGACCTCTTGTGCTTGATCAATACATACTACTTGAGGAGTTGAGGAGCCAGCAAGCAACCCTTTTTCTGCGCATTCTCGGGGGATACGTTTTAGCAATTACAGAAGCAAGCCCCTCCCAGAATCTGTTAAAACTGAAGACGACCAACTAGGCATGCTCCCTTACTTCTCACTAACAAAACCACAGCCTGTATCATGTCCTATTATATGCAGATGTGGAATGCCAGATGATTGGCAATACAACTCTTATCTTTTATTAAAAACATTAAGCAACATCACAGTCACATTAGAACTAGTAGCACCACACTATTCTCAAGCTACTTCCTGAGTATACACAATACTCAGTCTTGGGACAGGAATGCTGACCTTTTTGATTGACACAACATATAACACAGGGGAAGTAAAAAAATAAATCTATATTTGAAGTCAGCTTATGCTTAATACCTATGACCATGCAGAGACAGCAGCCAGGGACGTTGAGATTCAGTAGAGTGAAGAACATTCCTTGCATTTCAAATGTGAGCATAGCTATTAAAACAGTTTTATCTTTTTGAAGCACCTAGTTACATTCAATGAGGACCAGGGACTTAGGAATGTAGCACTGTTTTTCCAGTCAGGGGAACCTCAAATAAGCCACCTTTCAGCAGTAATCTGCTTAAACCCCATTTGTGGCCGTATATAAAGTCAGGGCAGTACAGCATCACCAATACTTTATGCCTACTCTGTAGCTGAAGTAGAGGCATCACATAGGGGCTCCAGGTCTACTGGCATCTGTTATTTGTCTCCTCAAGTTACAAAAGATTTCCTTTTCTAAATACGGATAACCAGCCCCAAGAACTCAGCATGTCAAGTGTTTGCAGGTCAGATTTTTAGTAAGCACAAAAAGTTGCCTTCTTTAACAGGGGAATAGTCACATTCAGGTTTCAGATGGGCATTGTGCATTTATATATGTATACATATATACACACGCACCCAGTCACATGTAGAACCTCACTTTACTGTGACTTTTTACCTCCTGTTCCTAGGAGGACCCAAGATCTCAGTACATGACGCTAGATCAAAGAGGGCGTCCCTAACCTCTTCTAAAACCTGCATAAATGCAGATTAGCCCAACTGCTGAAACTGGCAATAGCTCCAACTACAAACAAGGTCTATGCTAGATTCAAACTACAGAATGAGTCAAATACAAACTAAGTTTCTAGATGCTATGTAATGATGCCTTACATTGCTCTGAAGATTATTTCAGCTCAAATACGTGTCCTGATACAACACTCCAGCAATAAAATAATAATTGTCAGGCTGTTTTTTTTTTTTTCCCCTCCTTCATTGTCTGCCAATGCAAGGAGCATCTCTAGAACTAAAGTCCGATAAGAGGAGTTTAAAAAAAAAATAAAAATTCTTCCTGAATAAGAACTACTATATAAGTTTAGTATTACATCACAAGAATTAGCATACTTACAGGTCCCATAATTGTGGCTTGCCAATGAAACACTACAAAAGAAAAACTCCACATTATTATCTAGGCATGATACGCTTTAAGTTAGCAGAGCAAAACTAAAACTTAATTTTAC